CAGACACAAGGGACTGTTTTGCTCTAATAAATCCAAACAGTATTATGTATAATCGGTTATATGTTCTTTTTCACACATTACCTACTGTCCTACAAGACATTTAAAATTCCTAACAAGTAGTATAGGTTTCTCCAAGAAAAATGTTTTAAAATTTACATTGGATTTGTTTCTGGATAACTTCTAAAGTTGGTCTGTAAGTTAAATGCTATTACAAAAAAAAAATGTAATAGATTCTGCTATGAAATTTGACAGCTACACAATTAAAATAAGAAGATAAAAAGATCACTAAATACCCATAAATATATAAAACCTGAGCAAAGCTTCTAGTAATATGCTATCAAATGACTCCTATCAAAATGTAACTTTTGCAATGGAGTGGGTGTGGTTACCACGTCTTATATAACACATTTTATAAAAAGTTATTTGAGCTATTTACAATTTGCTTTTTATCTCACATACAAACTATCATTTTACTCTGTGTCCTTGTGTTTTAGGTTAAAATATTTTCGCCTCTAAAAAGATAAATAAATAATAAAAGAGGCAGGAGGATAAATGAGTCAGAGATGTATTTATTATTATAGATTGAACTAATAATTTCATAATTTGTACAACTATGAGAACACCAAATTGTAATACCTAAATAGAGTTATTACATCATTAAAAATAGGCAAAAGAGCATGACAAATGGAAAGTATAACTGCAAAAACAAGCCCTGTGTGTACTGCATTGATATAGTTGAAGGAAAGTCCATCAAAAGAGGATAAAGAGTCTTCATATGAATATCCAACACATGAAATTTCTGTAAGGTTGAGGTGTCTTTGCTGAGCAATGAGGAGAAGTGAAGTATTAGGAAATCTGTAGGAAGTAGATGGCCAAAAGAAAACAAATTCAACAGTATCTTTAGAGGTTATTTGTCTCATAATGTCATGTCAGGGCTTTTAAATATATATTTTAAATTTTTAATTTTTAATTTAGCTATGATTTTATTTCTATTTGTCTATTTATTTATTATCCCCATTCCCTTAACCTACAGGTTTTTTGAGTATATATTGTAGCTTTCAGTTTTGTGTTTTTATGGGATTTCTGAGAATGCAAATGAGTAGGTCTCTGAATCTGTATCTGATTATTGTGCCTTTCCTTGGGCTGTTTTCCTTCTGTTTATTTGTTTTGCCCTATTCCAATGTGTTAGTGTATGTTTTATTTTTATATTATATTGTATTATTATATTATATTATATTATATTATATTATATTATATTATATTATATTATATTATATTATATTATATTATATTATATTATATTATTATCTCTTGGGTGCCTATTTGTTTTCTAATGAGATGCAGGAAGGATATAGATCCAGATAGGGAGGGAAGTAGGGAGGAACTGGGAGGAGTAGAGGAAGGCAAACCATAATCAGGCTATATTCTATGAGAAAAAAATCTATTTTCAGTAAGTGGAAAAATAAATATATAAAAAAGAAATCAATAGAAAGGACTGCCGAGATGGCTCAGCCATATAAATTGTGTACTGCTTTAGAAAACCTGCTTTGTTCTCAGAGCCCATGTTGAATCACACACATATACATAATTACAAAAAAATTTAATCTTTATAAAGAGAAATACAGTTTCATGTCAAACTGACATAAGCGAGAGTCATCTGAGATAGGGGAGAAGCTCAATTAAGTGAATTTCTCCATAAGAAGGGACTATAGGCAAGCATTTAGAGCATTTTAAAATTATTGATTTATAGAGGAGGGCCCAGACAATTGTCGTTAGTTTTATCCTGAGCTAACTGTCCTGGGTTCTATAAGAAAGTAGGATGAGCAAGCCAGGGGAAGGGAGCAAGTTAGTAAACAGCAGGTGCCTGCACAGCTTGAATTCCTGACATGATTTCCTTCAATGATGAACTCTGATATGCAAGTATAAGTGAAAAAACCCTTTCCTCCCCTACATGATTTTGATTATAATATTCATCATAGCAATAGTAACTCCAACCAAGAAAAGAAATCTGTACAATTGATGATGCATGTAAAACATGTAAATGTATATTGTTATACTAGTCTCCAATTAGTTTTAGTTTTGGAATATTTATATGTTCACATGTACAAAAATAATCATTTAAAATTTCAAAACAAAAGCCGGGCGGTGGTGGCGCCCGCCTTTAATCCCAGCACTCGGGAGGCAGAG